GGCAGAACCAAAGATCAACCAATGTAGGATGAGCATATATGCAGCGGAAGTCTGATAAACGGACTGACTCACATAGACTGACTCACATAGCATCACCCCACACACATACAATCGTGAGATGGTGGGGTCTGGGCCATTCGTAGACGATGCCCAGATCCCGTACACGCATTCACAGATGAAAGGTGGGAGGAGAGACGAAGGAGGTGGGGAGGTAGACAACACCGATAGATAGAGTCTGATAGGTCTCCGATATGGTAGTCCAAAATGTCATACAACAAGATCAAAATGTCGAGGCCCATAGGTCATCAATGTCGGAGATACAGAGTCCAGATGTAACCGGTGTCCAACTGTGATACAGCCGAGTATCAACCTCAACAATCTCCAAGTCGCCAATCAGGTAAGTACCACAGTCTCATATCACCGAAGTCCAACTCTGATCTCTGTCCAACTAGTATAAGTCTCTAGTCTGAAGAAGAAGAAGAAGAAGAAGAAGAAGAAGAAGAAGAAGAAGAAGAAGAAGGAGGAGGAGGAGGAGGGAGAGAGAGAGAGAGAGAGAGCTGACGAGGGAGGGAGGAGAGGTCCTCCTCTCCCAGGTACCTCAGGCGGCAATGGCCGCCGTGCTGGCTCAGTCGCCCTGCTGCTGCTCCGCTTGCCGCTGCGCTAATGCTGCGCTGCCGCTGCTGCTCCGCTTGCCGCTGCGCTAATGCTGCGCTGCCGCTGCTGCTCCTTGCTCGCTCCTGCGCTAAACTTAGCGCATCAAAACAGTGCTCTGGCGCTGACCATAACGCACCGGTAGAGTGCCGGTGGTTCGATGCCTCCAAGTGAGGCTGTACCGGTACTTTATACCGGTGGGGCAGAGGCCGGCCTCAATGCTGCGAGGCCTGGCCATGCCCTGAACCGTCCAGATGGACGKTTCAGCCCCAACCGGCGGGCGGCAGCCTCAAGAGCGCCGCCAGGTCCAAACGATAATGCCGTTTGGRCCTGCCCGTCGGGTACTGGTCCAAGATCAGGCCCTGAGGGCCTGTAATACCCCAAGGTCGGGCCTTTAGGCCCTGATGTGTCCCTCCGGCCCTAAGTCGGGTCCGGTAGGACCCGTGTGCGTCGAAGATGTAACACACTCCCCCTCTTAAAAGACCGAGCTACCTGCGAGGGCGAAGTTGTCTGTCCGATACCGGGGTGGGTCGGGCGGGACGAGCTGCGTCCTTAGCAAGGCGTCGCTTCTCATAGTCGGCAAAGATGAGGGGTGCAGAAGTCTGCAAATCTGTACTGGAGATCCACCGAGTGTCATCAGGCGCACATTGCTTGAATGTGACTTGTACTGCCTTGGCTTGTTGCCATACTTGCGGTGCGTGATGACTCGGTCAACTTCCTGATGTCCGTCCATAGAAGGCGGATCCTGTGATCGACGTCCGGGGAACTCGTCAGCTGAAGGTGGCGTGTAGGTGGCCAGCTTCGATGCGTGGAAGACCCGATGCACTGTCAGGTGCGGTGGAATGTTGATCACGAAGGAAGGACCCGCGGGGTCGTCTCCAACGGCAGAAGTGACTTCCCATGGTCCGAACCATTTCGGAAGGAGTTTGCGCGAAACATCCTGCTCGAGCGCAAATTCCTCGGAGAGGACCCAAACACGGTCTCCCTCGCGGAAAGGACATGGAAGTCGACGTCGGTTAGCTTGCTGCTGCATGCGGATCTGAGCCTTTTGCATATTTGCGCGGGCTTTGATCAGCAAGTCCCGGTACTTCCGGACAGAAGCGGGAGAGCAAGGGACGTCTATGTCTATGACCTTCGTCAAAAGTACGGATACTGCCTCTGGTGCAACGGTGTCACTCATGTGACGCCGTTGCACCAGAGGCAGTATCCGTACTTTTGACGAAGGTCATAGACATCCTTGGTTATCTTGTAAGCCGTCCATGGCTGCTGCCTAGTTCCYGTCGATGCTGTCTCTTGTGTCGCCTTGTTCTTCCGAACTCTCTTGGGACGCTTCGGCGGGAGCGCTGCTACAATTCCTCCATCACTCGAGGATGCTGCTGCAGCGTGGAAATCGTCTGTTTCTTCAGAAATCACGACATTGTTATGTGGCGGACGCTGATAGGCCTGCTTAGCCACATAGTGCGGCTGGGATTGTCTCTCGTTAGCGGCCTTGTCGTCCGTTTGGATGACCAAGTTCGCTCGATCCAGAATGGCCTGGAATGTGGTATAGTCGTACTCATTACCGAGCGCCGGCCGCAATCCCGCTCATGATCGCGAGAAGAACTCCGATCGTTGATTTGGAAACGTCAAGTCGAAGCCTGGTGTGGTCACTATCTTTTGCCACTTCGTTGTCCAGTCTCGAGTTGGCATGTTCCCCTGAGAGCATGTGTACACCTCATTCATGGCCGCCTTCACGACGTTGCGGACCATGAACCGGGTGAACCATAGCTGCTCGAACTCCTTCCACGTGATGTGCGTGTGGAGTTCGGCSATGGTGCACTTGTGGGTGGCCGCCAGGTGGTTCATCCATGCYTGCGCTCCTCCAATCAGTTGCAAATAGAGTGCCTTCAACATGTCGTTCGCCGGGACAGTGCGACATGACGCTTCCATGAGGAAACGTTGCCACCATGTCAAAGCGTCCGACTTGTTGTAGTCGTCGAACTTGCAGATGTCGAAGYGCGGCATCTTGAACGTCTTTGTAGCGACGTCCGGTCTCGTCTGTAGCTTGGTGATGTCCGTCTTGATGGCGGCCACCGTGCTGCTGATCGTGTCCGGTCCGTTGAAAACACCTATGTCGCCGATGATGGTGACGACGTGATCGATGCGTTCGTTGATTTGCTTCGTCGCGTCCGTCGTGCAGCCTGGCGCTGCTGAGGCCTTGGCCTCAATGCCGTTGATGCGTGCGATGGTAGAGTTCATCAGCTGTTGCTGTTGCTGCTGCTGCATTGCTGCGTCGCGGACGCCGGCCGTTACAGCAGCCAGGTCTTGCTGGTACTGCTGTCTTTGCTGTCGTTCCGCGTGCAGGTGTGCCTGCAGTAGTTTGTTGTTCCACATTACTCCCCTCATTACGTTCAACGTCACGGTAGCCAGGTTACTTCTCTCTGCCTCCGCCTGTGTCGGCTCCGCCTGCGTTTCCGTAGGCACAAAGATCATGTCTTGGAGTATCGTTGTCCACTGATGCTCACTAGCAATCAGGGACTCCGTGCTGGCGGCATTCCGTCTGTTTCGTGCCGCTTCGTCAGTCTCAGCTGTCCGCTGAGCTTCGGCTGCCGCCTCATTGGCCAGCCGCTGACGTTCTGCCTCTGCCGCAGCCTGCTGAGCCTCGGCGGCGGCTACGGCGTCTGTAAATGCCTGTGGCCCACGATAGTCAGCCAAAGGCTCGCTGGCCTCTCGGACCGGGCATGCGGGAAGATCYCCGGTGGTGTCTTGTACWGTCAATGCCGTACTTGATGCCGCTGGAGTCGTCCGTCTGCTGAATCTCTTGGGTCTTGGAGGTACCGCAGGGCGGGCACGAACTGCGATCCTGGCACTGCGCCGTGGCAGTGCCCCGGTTTCCTGTTCCATCGACATCAGTCTGAACTGATGCGGTACTTGAGAGGTGCCGGTGCTCACAGAATACAGGGGGGTAGGGAGAGTGGGAACAGGGGTAGAACAATCAAGCAATATACATACAATCCCCTGTCCCACTGATGGACTGTAGACACCTAATCAAACAGAAAAATAAATTT